ATATAAGAAAAATATATTTCTAAAAATTACAATTTTAGCTAAATTTTCTGACAAATCCAATGTGAAGGTAGAATTGTATGGCAATTAAAATTAACGATGTTTGTACTGCATAAATAGGGATGACTTTTTTAAACACCAATACTCTTGTTTGGTCTTGTATATGATCTAATAAGGCTGGTCTGACTAGCTCAGGCAAATGCAGATGCAAAAAAGCACATTTTGAAACATATGTGGGTGTTTTAGTCTCAGTGATGGAGGCGGAGCGTAAATCAGGACTGTATTTTTCCCTCCCACACACAGATAACATATGAGTGTATGTTAATACATTAAATAGAAGAAAGCATATGCAGAAAATGTGTCTATGCTGGAACTGTACAGAATGGAAATGAATGAAATGTGGGTCCTGCTTTATATTAGGTGGCCTTTATTAAGATGTACTTGCCACATAAAATAAGTACAACACTTCTGGTGCTCTTGAGGAGGGACACAGGTATGGTTAGGGACAGTTCTGGGGGTATGGGTTGGGCAAATTCGGGTTAAGGTAAGGGATGAGTCAACAGTGTAAACCTAAATGTAATTACAGAAATTAGTTACTGACGTAATTACAAATAAATCATTGTTAAATGACAGCTTTCATATTTTGTGATTCAAAACAAGTGTTTTCTGTTTATTTATGGCATTATGGGATTTTAATCTCTGCTCTGTCGACTTTTGATGTTGAAAATTCAACTCTGCTGTTTAACAAAGTGACTTTTATTGACAGTTTAGTAGTTTGAAATAATATAATAATGTAAAAAAATAATATAAAGAGAAATAAGTATGTGTGGTGATCAGCGGTAAAATCAGGAACTTGTGGTAATTCAGTTGTAGAATTTAATTTTTAATATGAACAAATACTGCAGCCAGTACTCTGACCCTTTTGTTTAAGCTGATCAGTTAAGTGTGGCAATGGAGACAGCAAAGAACCATCTGTCTTTTGTTCATCTGAAGAACAAAGGTGTTAAAAGGACACAACTTGCAGAATGGCTTCTTGATCTAGTCAACATTTTCCTTCTAATCAGCATTTTCTCAAACACAGAAAGACAAGTGAATTACAATATTTACATCAAACGAAGTGGGCACGAAACTGAATATTTCGCTTCTTATACCCAGGGGCATAGAAGAACAAAGGGCACAGGGCCCTGGCAATTTAGGGACCCGGTGACGTCTCCTAACCCCCTCCCCCCACCCCCAATAGTCTTTATATTCTCAGCACAATGTCTTGGGTAAACTAGAAGTGGTTTGGAAGGTGAATTATGCATAGGAAAAAATAGAAAAAGAAACAGTTGGGAAAAAAAAAGAAAAACAGTTGAACTGTAGACTATAACCAACATAGACTCATTCTGAAAATGTAGCCCTATAGTTGATCAAGTATAGGTGTGTTGAAAATGAGTGTATAAATTAGTTGTGTTTCATCCAACTGCTGCCACCTTTGTCGTCAGGCAAAGTTTGCAGATTGCCTCATTAACGTCTTCAGGTTCTCTTTTTGCATTTGGTTTGAACCCAAAATATAGCTAAACAGGCGCTTTTGCATTGCATTTTTGACAAGCCTACCCTATATACGTTTCTAAAGACTGCAAATTATGTAGCAAGAGGTACGTATGGCTGCATTTCATTTTTAAAACAAACGCTATGTGGCGGTATGACGCCATTCCTTTTTGCGCTTACCAGCTGATCGCTTACCTCCGTATAGACGGCTTTTCCACTGTAACCAGTTTGTCCAGTTAGTTCGCCATGTACGTCGGCAGAGAGGAGTTGACCACGATGACAGGGTTTGAGTCCAGTGAAAAACGGTTCCAGAAAGCAGGTAAAACAAAAACTAAAACCAAAAAATAAAGTAAGTAAATAACAGGGTGAAAATGGGGTAAAATCTGAAAACTTGGTAAAAATCCTTTGGATTGTTTTTGAAAATTGTTGGTTGGGTTTAGAGAAGTGGGTGGTCGGTTCAATCAGATCTCAAAAAACGTACACAGTGGCCCCTGGTGGATTGGCGAAAACAAAAACTGCAGAAAGACGTACCTCCTGGGATATATTTCGCAGTCGTCAGAAATGTTTATAGAGGTTCGTTTTCAGAATGAACCTGGGTTGACCATAACTAGGCCATCTGGTCACACTATGGATGACACCCTCCAGTGACCACCTCACACGATCATCCAATCACAGTGCTGGATTTGAAAGGTGCCATCTTTTCAATCCCGCCTTCCAGAGAAATGATAAAACATTTCCTCAAAGAAGTTGAAAGTGTGGTTTGCAATATTGGTGTTGTGCAAAAGGTTTCTTGTGTTGCTGCTTGAAGGGGGATGAAAACGTCTTTAGCTTCAGTAATTCTCTCCAAAGGATTCTCTGCATGTCTTTGGCTATCTAAATTGCTCAAAGACTTCTTAGGTTTCTTTTGCTGCATGTTTCACCAATGATTTTCATTGAGTTTGAATTCACACTATTCCAAGACTTGCAGTCTGCTTTTAGCCAGATTTCTTCTTCTCAAAGCTCAAGAGACCCATGTCTACTTATTCCATGCCTCAAGAACAGAAAGAAGATCCAGCTTCTTCTAACCACTGCATCAACAGCAGAAACGTAAATATACCACTTGCCAAACCTCTAAGAGAGACCTTGGCATAGTGTTTCAGTATTTAATACTCTAATTAATTAGATGTTTAAACTGTTATTCATTAAAAACAAAAAAATCCTCAGTTGTTTGTTATTTTAGAATAAGGTTACTCTTGTCAGACTTGTCTTCAGAAAAGATAACAGAGTAATTAATCCCATTTGTAGAAATAATTTTAATTAAAAAGCATTATTGTTGATTATTGCCACTGTGGAAGCTGATGCTGGAGCCCAGTTTAAAAGGAGTTATTCATCTGTTATTTACACACACCTTAAGAGTGAAGTGACCAAAATCTCAGTATTAATATTAATACTAATGTTAATTTTAATATTGGAGTCAAACCAACTAAATTATCACTACATTATTTGGTGCCCTATACGAGAGGCTAAAATATTGATATTGATACCGAAATATTGATGTTAATATTTGCGATAAATTCAAAATAACACTACATCTGTAAAATAACAGAGCATGTACTGGCTTTTATAACAAAGTCCTTGTACCATAATATATAACATTAACCCAATATATCCCTTTAAACTATTAAAAATGTTCATAAAATTAACTTCTTCAAAAATAAAAGGGAAAAATAAAAACATGAATCACAAAATATGGAAAATCCTAATTTATGGATATTTTTACAGTGCACTAAACTATTAATTTAAATGTAACTATATAGTAATTAAGTACACTTAATTTAAAGTGTGACCGAAATGGTTAATTGTGCATTTCATTTTTGGATTTGGAAAATGGGATGAAAACATCCTTAATTGCTAGAATAGCATGTAATATACTCAAATAATATTAATTAAAAAACTATAACTAATAAATAGACAGTCACAATGACAAAGAAATAGATGCCTGCAAAATGTAAGACATAAACAGATTTATCAGTGAATGAATCAATAAATAAATCGACTTAGACCTGAGAATGATGCAGAAATGCTGGAAGTCAATCTAAGTTATTAACTCTCAGATACTACAACCCACTGTATCAGCAGCCCACATGAAAGCTGAGCGTTGCACACTTTCTAGATTAGTCCCGTTTCCAGACACTCACGAGAGCACATTCACACATATGTTGCTCAATAACAACACCTTCATCATAGTGTTGCAAAAAAAAATTCCAATTCACAACTACATCAGAGTCTGAGGAAGACTGATTAAAATATTAAAAGTAACATTTTTGAGTTGCACTTGATCAGAGCAAGCTAATCTAAATGAATTAAACAATTTTACTGATGTATTGTTTCAGAGAATCAATGACATTTATTAATAGCAGCATATAATCTGTGAGTGAGCAATGAATGTGAAATATTGTGTCCACATCAAAGTGTACTTTCCAAGTGGTGTGTGTGTATTATGTATATATATATATATATATATATATATATATATATATATATATATATATATATATATATATATATATATATATATATATATACAGCCCCCCCCCCAATTTCTGTTTAATGAAGAGAAGTTTTTTTCAACACATTTCTAAACATAATAGTTTTAATAACTCATTTCTAATAACTGATTTATTTTATCTTTGCCATGATGACAGTAAATAATATTTGACTAGATATTTTTCAAGACACTTCTATACAGCTTCAAGTGACATTTAAATGCTTAACTAGGTTAAGTGTAATTTTAGAGCAATTAGGCAAGTTATTGTATAATGATGGTTTGTTCTGTAGACAATCTAAAAAAATAAAGCTTAAAGGGGCTAATCATTTTGACCTTAAAATGGTGTTTTTAAAAATTAATAGCTGCTTATATTCTTACCGAAATAAAACAAATAAGACTTTATCCAGAAGAAAAAATATTATCAGACATACTGTAATCATTTCCTTGCTCATTGCAACATTTAAGAAATATATAAAAAAGAAAAAAAATTCAAAGGGGGCTAATAATACTGACTTCAACTAAAAGGACACATTTATTTTAAGCTGTATTTATTCAAAAATATATAAGAATAAGTTATCATACTATATTTTCTCATATATGTCTAACTATTGCTTAAAGCCCAGTTTGGAGGACTAGCAAAGTATTAAAATTTAAAATAATTTGTTTTGGTAAAAATGTATGATAGTTGTATCTTGTTTTTTCTCCTGAAACATAATCAAATTGACAATAAAAATTACACATTGTAATTTCTGGGTGAAAACAATAAAACTGAAAGCTGTATTGTTGTTATGCTTGGAAATTGTATATTTAAATTTACATTTAGCAGACGCTTTTCAGATACTAAAGTTTACTATTACAACAACAACAACAACAAAAATTCTTTACAATAAATTTGCCAATTACAGATTCAAAACACAGTGTAAAATGAATGGACAAGACCAAGGCAAATGATCCATAAAGTTTATCTCATGCAATGTAAATTGAATAACGTAAATATAATGCACTACATATTTTTTCAATTCATTATTTAACAATTTTTTCTCCTACTAAAAAAACAAAAAAACCTATGCACTCAAGCGCACTTTTTGCTGAGATTTTCCTCCAGATTGAACGTTTTTCTGAGTGAATCTCAAGGCTGCATATGTCAAATTTTCATCATCAGAGTCCTGAATAAAAAAGTGCCAGATTAACTTAAATTTAAATTCCACACATGTGTAAACAAAAATCAAATGATTAACACTTACATAGAAATAAGATACAATTTATTCTTAAAATTCATGCAACTCGAAATCATAATTTTACAATATTATTTACATGCTGTTTTGTTGCTCTGATTATTTCTGATTATTTCATGCTAATTATTGAATAGAAATGTAATGTAAATGAAACAAATAATAATAATGATAATGAAACTATTGGGCATTTTTTTTTCTGAACAGAACAAAACAACAGAGTAAACAACATCAGCGTGTAATGCTAGAAACAATTATACAAAAGCATTATTAAAAATATACAAATTCCTCTTTAAAGACAGCAAAATCATCATCTTACCTGAGCATTCGCATGGCCTCTGATTTGATTGCCTTGTCCAGAGCTTTGGACTGTGTGAAAAGATACAGAAAAAAAATGCTGTAAGTGTAATTATTAAAAACATAAATACAACTGAATGAATGCAAATGAAAAACACTGAGTCAGACACAAACCTCTGCTAAATATGAACGCAATGAGAGCAAAAATTAGTCCTCCACAAAGTCCTAAAGCACACGCCAAACCAAGCACTGCTGGACAGAGCCTTTCATCTGAAACATTTGCTGAAAGATATGGATATTAATGATTCTGAGAATACATACACAAACTTGTAGAAGATTCATTTTAGTCAGAAAATGAAAGAAGTGGATTCATAAATAATTACACATTTCTGTTGTGCTGTTTTCATTGAATTTTTGTCTACACTTGATGGAGCTGTTCAGATGATCTAAATTTGAGTTCTTATATGCTGCAGCTTGATGACCTAGGGTTAACACAAACATACATTAAAAATGTATTAATTAATTTCATAAACATTATCCTGGATCACAAAAGAAGTCATAAATGTTAAGTTTTGGACATTGAGACATACACATCACATTAAAGCTGGTTTGTTAGAATAGAAAAATATTTAGCTGTGATATAACTAATATAAATCTGGAATCAGATGGTTAAAAAAAAAATCCAAAGACTGAGAAAATCACCTTTAAAGTTTTTTAAACTATGAAAGTAGATTTAATAATTGTCTTCATAGAAGATGACTTTTAATGTTCTTTAATATTCTTTTGATTTTTGACATTCTTATGATTTTTGTGGTCCAGGGTCACAAAATATAATTTTAATTTGTTATACATGCTAACTACAAATAGGCTAAATGCATTATGTAACATAATCAAATCATTATAATGCATAAATGTTGACAATTATTGTGATGATTTAAAAATAAATGTTACCTTTAATTTTCAGATGTGTTCCATTTCCAAACTCAGTATAAAATTCTCTTGATGCACAATAGTACACTGCTTCATCTGACTGGATGATGTCTGAGATTGTCAGATTGGTGCTGCAGCTCAGTCTTTTGCCCCAGAAACGTTCATTTTTGTATTTGTTGTAAAAAATGGGCTCTGACAGTTTCTGAAATGCTGAAATGACTCGAGGTTGTTGACCAGCAACTTGCTTGTACCAAAAAATGTTATTGTTACACGAAATACACCGCAGAGTCACGCTATTGCCAAGTTCCACAATCATAACTTTTTCTGGCTGTTCAATACGTGAATGTGCAGTGCCTGCAAAAAAAATGAAAATGCCATAAAACAGCTTGAATATTTGGATAAATAGTGCTACAGTATATAGAATAGAACAATATTTAGCCAAGATACAACTATTGAAAATCTGGAATCGGATAGTTCAAAAACATTTAATTACTGAGGAAAATCACCTTTAGAGTTAAGCAAATGATCTTTTTATGTATTTATAGTAGTAAAATTACTAAATGTTTTTATCGAAGATGACCTTTCTTTAATATTCCAATGATTTTTGGCATGTACTAGTATTAATTATATTAGTAACACTTTCTACAAAGCCCATGCTCACAGTGAATTATAACAGTTAATAATATTTTATAATCAAGCTTAACAATTCTATTAATGCATCTATAAAGACACAACAGAATTGTAATGAGAGTTATAGTGTTCAAGAATCTATTACTAACTACTAATGAATCGCTGTAACTACACTGTTTTAACATTGCAGACGGCATCTTTATAAATACAATTATGACCGACTAATTAATACTAGTACCTGTACATCAGGATTGAGTGTGTTTGAATATGTAGATTAAAATTAAAATGCATCACTAATAAGCATTAATAACAATATCACAAAAGTAGCCATATCTGTCATAATATAATACAGGTTGTGTCTTATAGATACATTTATAAAATTGTTATGCTCGATTACAAATAATTATAAATATCATTATTAATAGAAAGTGTAACCAATATGTTTATCAAAATAGATCAGAATAACAAAGCGCTCTAAAACTAATTAAATCACAGCGATGGTTTAAAACAAATATTTCCAAAATTATATTTAAAGCAAATAAGCATGAAACACATAGTGGTACTTACGCGCAACACAAAGAACAGTAACAAATGCCCAGAGAATCATTGTAGATATAGTATAACAATTTTTGGGGGCTGTCTTTTAAATCTATCAGAGAGCAAAGAGTCTTATTGCAGTGCAGGAGGTCCTTATATACGTGCTGTACTAACCACACAGTAACCTTGAATATTTACCATTGGTTAAGACTCTAAAAATGAGGTTGACAAAACCAAGACAAAGGGGTTCATGGCACCCACATTCTTATAGCAGTAGGCAATCAAAGTCACTGATTCATTTGTGTTTTTCTAAGTCTCTTTTAAAAAGAATGTATTTGAGGACTGAATGTGCAGATTAGCTACACTTAAAAAAATGATGTCTGCTAAATTGTTGCAAACAATTTATGTTGAATTTAAACAAGTTAAATTTCGTAATGTTAAACCTAATATGTATGTTTAAATTCAACCCAAATCAATTGTTTACAACCACTTCACTTAAAAAAAAAAACTAGTAAATCCAAGGAATCATCTTTAAATCTTTTTTTCAGTGTACCAATATGTCTAGATAAAATCTGTCCCAGGTTTTTTTTTTTCATGTTTTTTTTCTATTTATTCTGTTCATCAAGGCAGAATCTATTAAATGTAAAAAAAGAGTTAGTATTTATTACGTTTTTAACTAACTGCTTTCTTATTGTACAATTGAAGTGAGCGCTCAGTGATTTATTTATAAGAGGAATTTCCAGTTTAGGTCAACTTTAACTCAAAATGAATTAAACAAATCATTTGAAATATCAAGGATGCTCAACAAATTATTCTTTCAGTTTCATTCATTCATTTTACTTTGGCTTAGTCCCTTTATTTACCAGGATTCGCCACAGCCGGATGAACCGCCAACTTATCCAGCATATGTTTTACACAGAGGATGCCCTTCCAGCTGCAACCCAGTACTAAAAAACACCCATATACTCTCGGACTCACACACATACACTACGGTCAATTTAGCTTATTCAATTTACCAATTGTTTATGTTTTTGGAAATGAAATCGGAACACCCGGTGCAACTCACACGAACACGGGGAGAACAGGGCAACTCCACACTGAAATGCCAACTGGCCCTGCCCGGACTCAAACCAGCAACCTTCTTGCTGTGAGATGACAGTGCTAACCACTGAGCCACCATGCCACCCCGTCTATTAGTTTCATCAAATTAAAATATATATTATTTTATGCATCAGGAAAAGTATAACAAATTATACTATTATATTATTATCTGCAACAATTTATCTATTTATTTACTTTTAATTCCTATAAGCAGCGTTTATTGGAACATTTAAAATCTGGGAAATATAACATCATTTTGTCAGAATGAAAAAAAAAAACTGTTGAATTAAAATTGAAATATCCATTATTGGAGTTACAATAATGGCAGAAAACCTTTAATTAATTTAAAACAACATACTTTATATATGACTATTATTAATAGAACTTCTAAAAGAATTAGATTTTCTTTTAAACAAAAAATAAATCTTCACCTGCCCCAGGCTTTGATTAGATAATTCTGAGGGTAAAATTTTGATAAAATAATTCTTGATGCATCCCAGTGCAAATTTTATTCCAATTCATTTTCAAATACAGTTATTATAGTAAAAACAATAATCAAACTTTGGTATTATTTATATGTATCATCAACAATAACATGCAAATAAGTAACAGTAACTAATACATAAAGAAAACAACAACAACAAGCATTTAAGAAATAATAAAAATCTTACATAACTGCAAACTGATTGGAAGTACAGTTATCTAGTATTAGCACAGTCAGGATTTACTAATCATTTGTGCTGTATTATTATTATTGTATGTACATTTGTAAAAGTTTCACTTTTTTAGATTCTAAATTTATGGCAGGAGAGGATTTAAATCATTTGCACTGTTTATAAAGACTGGCTCTTCATGAAATAATTAATTTTAAATCTGAACATTCAATTTTAGAGAGCTGAATTCAGGATTACTGTCTGAGACAAGCTCCACCCACTGTATCCTGGAAGCTTGACAAGGTGAAGCTTTGCCCACTAAATTAAGGGAGTCTGAGCTCAGGTGGGTCTCAAGAACTCCCCTGAATTCATTCTTTTGGCCTGTTCTTTGATTAAAAGAGTTTTGTGCATTGAAGCTTAGTACTAAATGCTCATATACAGTGCCACTTTTATTCAAGCTGTGGGAGGAAACCAGCTGGAACTTGAACCAGTGACGTTCTTGCTGTGAGGCAACAGTGCTAACCCCTGAGCCACCGTGTGGATTGTGGATGGGAGGATTCTTTAAGACAAAGATAACTAGGTAAGAAATTCTGGTATTTTATAGTAAGTTTGGATTCATCTGATTGGTAAATCATGTGATGGCTAATGCAGGACAAGCCGTGGTCAATCGTATAAGCACGTGATCCTCTTGAAATTAGTTCATAAATAAACTTCACTTTGTTACACATGCAGTAAAAGTGAAAAAGTTGTAAGATGAGGTGCTAGAATCATGGAGTTATTATGATGATTATTCTTACAGATTATTATTAATAATTACTTATTAATGTAGAGTGGAGAAGGGGTAGGACTAAATGCTAAATGCTATGCTTCTTCTTACTCCTTTATGGACATTTATAATTTAAAACGGATTTGTTACTTTACCTATTTTTACATGTTTGAAATAAAGTCTAAAGGGAGGAGGAGTTGAGCCAGGCAAAGCTCCACCCACTACATCAAAAGGGGAGGAGCTAGACACCATTTGGCTCCGCAGTAAGAAAAACTGCATTTCCAACACAATCTCACTGCAATTCACAACTTTTTGATTTAGGACTAGGAGATATTTTAAGTTTGTATGATATCATTGGTACATTTTAGTAAGAATTGCTCATCATCCCTCAATGAGGGTTAGGTTTAGGAGTGGGATTTGGGGTCTGTACAAAAACACATATGCTTTTATATACAAAAATGTTGCCACCTTTTCACAAATATGTAAAATAGTTATGAACTAGAAATAGTTGGAATAAAAAAAGGAAACTACAACAACAACTGGCTTTTCTTTTAAAACACTTGATGAATACTTCATTTATAATATCTTCACTATAAAAATGATATTCACAACATGTTATTGTAATTTTTCACAGTAAATTACATTAGTATCCCTTAGGATTTAACTGTAAAAACTCACAGTAATATGTTGTATTTATAATTTTGTTGTGAAATTAGAGCAGGAATCATGATTGCAGCAAATTACTGTAAAAAAGGCTATATCCTCTATAGGTTTCCAACTTTTTTATTTCATTCAACATAGATATAAATACAAATAAACTTTATGCTTGTATTACTTTTTTGATATTTAGAAAAAACACAATGTTACTGAAGCCCCCAAAACAATTTGGTTACATCTTCAAAAATAACTTGAAAGAAAATCATCCTGTTTTGAAACGACATAAATGTCAGTAAATTTTCATTTTTGGGTGCACTGCACCTTTATTTAATTTTATAAGGTTAACATGGAAATATGAAATAATTTTTAATAAACAAAACTTAGTGCTTAGCCAAAAACGTATTAAACTGGAACAAAAGTAATTGATTCATAAAACCGAACACTTTTAAACACCCAAAATAATTTCGAAGTCAGGGTAAATGTCAGAATGAATAGCCTAGAAAAGCCTGGTTCACAGTAAAATATATTTAATCCTACAAGGTAATACTGTGAAATTGATGAAATTAATGAACGTTACTATCTACTGTGAAGTTACACTATATGGCTGTAATTTCACAGTAATATAACGTAATGCAACAAAATCACAGTGAATTACTGTAAACTAAAAAAATCTCACGGTGATTTGCTGTGAATTTACATACAGTATTTTATTGTAAAAGTAATGCAATTATTAGCCAGTAATTTACTGTGAATTTGAGGTCAAATTTTTTACACTGTATGAATATCACATTAGATGTTTGAATTATATTATGTGATCTTCATCTTGACTTGGCAACATGATGGTTGTGGCTTCGATTCTTATGTCTTTCAATTTTTATTTTTTAATGAAGAAACATTTGCAAATCCCAAATAAATCTTATTCTTTCTTTCACATGCAAGTAGTAATCCACTATTCTACTTTTAAAGCAGTGGTAGTACATTTTTGTGGTTTACAAAGTTTCCAAATAAAAAAAGGTCACAGGAAGTGTGTGATGTCACAAAAAAAGACACCACAGAGGTGTACAGTGTAAATCTGCAGTAGTTTATTAAAGCAAGGCAATCAGAGAAGATGAGAATCGTGTGGATTTCTCTCATGCTTCTATGCAGGATAAGTAAGTGTGCAATTTAAATATATTTTATTTATATATATGCATTTCTTTGATATTCCAATACGCCATCTTTCACGTTATTAAATGTCATTTTATTCTCACAGAACTGAATTACTTTGTCTCCCACAATGTTTTGCATCGCAAAAAATAATAATTAGTTCTTAAACTAATTATTTATTCACTTTAAGATTTTTTTCTGATTTAATTTTTATTTTGAGCTTTACAGTTTTATTTTAACAAAGGGTTAAAAGATTTCCACAGCAGTTTCTAAAGAATGTGCACAAAAATGTTTTCTGATTTACTGCTTTTTCCTCTCCCTCTTATAGACCGAACACAATCTGAAATTGTTCAACAACCAGATCCAGTGATGATGGCCTCTGTTGGGGAAAATGTTACTCTGCGTTGCATAATTTTACAAGAACACAGTGACCCGATTACCTGGTACAAGCAGACTGCCGGACACCAACCACTGGCTGTGGCAATGACGCAGAAATTAGCCCAAACTCCTGTTTTCTTCAACAACTTTCAACCCTCACATTTTAGCATTGAGGTAGAGTCAGAAACATGTAATTTAAAGATTTACAATGTCACTTCATCTGATGAAGCAACATATTACTGTGGCTGGAGAAAGTATGAAACATATTTTGGCAGAGGCACATATTTAGCTTTGAAAGGTTTGTGTTTTTATCGTTAAATATGATTTCTTATTTAAATAAAAATTGCATTATTACTGTACATTTGGAAACTCTAAAATTCTATGACAATCTTTATTTCATATCATTGTTATTAT